ATTTCTCTAACATCCTGAAAAGTGAAAAGATAAACATTCAAGAAGCTCAGTGAACCCCAGGAAGAATAGACCCCAAAAGAAAATCACTGAAATGTATCATAATCAAGCTCTCCAAAATCAAAGATAAGGACAGAATCCTGAAAGCAGCTAGGAAAAAGAGAAGAATTACATACAAAGGCAAGCAAGTCAGATTAAGCTTGGATCTCTCAGCAGAAACCATGCAAGCAAAAAGGCAATGGGGTGACATATATAAAACCCTGAAAGAAAAAAACTGTCAACCAAGAATCCTTTATCCAGCAAAGCTATCAATCAAATAAAATGGTGTAATCAAAACATTCAAGGATAAACAGAAGCTAAGGAATTTTTCTAAAGCCAACACTGTGCTACAAAACATCCTAAAGGGAGTTCTGTGGACTGAGAACCAATAAGAACAGACAACAACCAAAGACTGACATACGTGGCAGCACCTCCCAGAACTAAATCGACAGATGGAAGATTCGAGAACAGAACAAAACTATAAGAACAAACTCAGAGAATCTGGGAGGTCAGTCTATGATCAAAACAATTACAATGTAAAATAAGGTAAACATATAGGAACAGAAATCCAGATGGTGAGAAGGTCAGGTAGATTACAGGATAAAATAGACTGCCCTAAATGGAGGGAAAAGTTAATGGAATATAAGGTAACCTCAAAGAAAATTAACACTTCACAACATACCAAGAAAATGAAAATCCAAGAACATGGAAATAATAAAACTATGAGGAAACTCACAAGAAAGAACACAAAAAGCATGAACTCAGCAAAGGAAGACACACTGTACAAAGAAAGCAGCAACACCACAAAAAAACATAATGGCAGCAATTAATCCATACCTATTGACAATTACATTGAATGTAAACAGATTAAATGCACCAGTTAAAAGACAGAGGGTGGCAAAATGGATAAGAAAACAAGATCCTTCAATATGCTGTCTGCAAGAGAGACAGCTTACATACAGAGACAAAAACAGATTAAAAGTCAAAGGATGGACCCATCATGTAAATCAAATGTCTAGGGACATTAGTCTCGCTCATATGATCTGAGAGTAAATAGACAAAGGCTCACAAAACAGGCTAAATGCTTTAGAGAAAGGAAGACCGCTTAAGGGAAA